AAAAAAAAAAAAAAAACGATTTGATAAGATGTGACTGGAAAACCAGAATTGATTATTGCAAAATTAATTTGTTTGTCTCCATGCTTCCTCCTGATTTTGTGGTTCATAAAAATTGGTTTCCAGAACAATGTATTCATTTATCAAGCTGTCAGATGAGTTCTGGGTGATACGCAGATTGTTGTCTTCTATTCTTTTTCTGTTCACACATGCGTGCGCATGAACACGTGTACACACGTGCACACAAACAGTGTGATCCATCTCAGTGCTCTCCGCGAATACCACCCTTACACACACACACACACACACACACACACACACACACACACATTTCTAATTACAAAACATCTTCCCATCTAGTCATTCAGGGTCCAAGCAATATTAATAGCTGATTGCCTATTGATTTGTGTCTGTGCTTGACCTGGTCATCTACCATAGTTGCGGTCATCGAAGGGTCACTCATGGTCAGTAGTGACAAATTGACAGGTTCAACAGGTGATTGGGATGATCTTTTAATACAAGCATGTAAGGTTGGAGAAAAAAATAGTGTATTTTTGTGTAACCTGTCATGTAAATGATGTATCTAAGAGTCATATTTGTGCAAGAATTGCAGAAAATGATCTCTACAGTGTTGAATTCAAGAATGAATTGTGCATAAGTTCAAAAGAAATTCTAAATTCAACTAATTACTGATGTGACTATTCAAACAAAATTCTATAACATGATACCTGGCAAGGATTGGTCAAAACAGATATTAAAATTATTTTAAACAAGGCATGACCCCTACTAAACTGAGCAAGGTTTGATTTTAGATTTTAAAGCAGTTTGTCTTTAGAAAAGCAATTTTAAAGCAGTTTGTCTTTTTTATCACATAAAGGAATGGCATGACCAGTTCAATAATATATTAAAAATTATTAATTGATTTTGTTACTTAAACAATTAGCTATCTGGGTCTCTTTTTAGGTCTTTTGCGAAAATTACAATTATGCCCAAGGCTCATTACTGGACTAGA